AGTTGCAAGTCCTCAGCTTTAAGATTCAAGTCTTAAACAAGTCATTAGTGCTTTTTGCCCAAATTAGTGTCTCAGTAATAATTACCATATCAAATTCATAGTCATTTATATCAGGAAGGCAGGTATAATATGTTTGACATAGTTCAATTTCATGTGAGATGGGTGCCCTTAGTAAAACTACTCAAGTACAATTTAGGGATTGTGCCAAAATAGGAGAAGCAGTGAAAAAAACTATTTTATTAGTAACAGAATAGCAAAGACAACATAATTTCATAGAAATAACAGCTGCAACATACTTTGCATGTGTGCATAAGAATAGCTATATGCTTCTAGGTTTTATATCTTAGCCAATTATACATTATTTGGAACCTCAATGAAACAGATTTAAAAATATGTGAGTGGAAACACAGAAAGAACTGCTTTGAAAGAACTCGAAGGAATAACTGCAAGCATAGTGAGAGGAAACATGCAATATGGATGCAGACAAACTCATGAAGACAATCATTCAAAAATGCTGAGCTACCATCCTTTATAACTAAGAGTAACAAAGAAAAAATAATTTAATAGAAAAAAATGTATGTTAAATGTTAAGCTTATAATATGCATAGTTGATCGCTAAATTTAGGGGCTGTGTGCGCTATTGGCCTACAGACTGATTTACAACACGTGAATTAATTCATTTATCCTGAAAGAAATGGAAGTGACATGAGAGCCTGCAAGAGGGAGAAAAATTGAGTGGCCAAAGTTATAAAGTTATATACAATACTCATTTTGTGAAAGAAACACTTCTTCAAATTATATTTTAAATTATCATTAAGCGCTTGCCCACTTGCCCACTTCAGACATTAGGCCTAATGTGCATTTTTCGTCTTCAAATTATAGCTGAATGGTTTGCAATGATTCATCTTTAAATCAAGGTTTATCTAATAATTATGTTGCACCAAACTTCAAACCTTTAAAAATAAGCAGGTTTACATTGGTCTTTAGCGACCCGGGACATCATTCTCTACCCTCTCCCTCCTTCATTTTTTTAAGTTAGACATCAACTTTCTTAGTCTTCCTCAATCTATTAATTATAAACAATATAACAAGAAAAAATAGTCAAATATAAAAGAATGCCAGTTTTCTGATTATTTTTTTGTAAAAAGTGTATAGGGCTACAGACCCAAGGTATGTAAATGTGTAAGTATTTTTCCTGCGCAACTATATTTACATATCTGAGGACTCAATTTGTGCAATGCATCTTTTTTTCCTCAAGGTGGCACTGTTTGATACACAATGATGACATGACGTTTCACTCATAATTACGGCAGGCATAAAACAAACGAAAATCATCAGCAAAAATTGAAGTGGTTTGAATGGCTTTATTGCAGAGCAATTACTATACGCAATGAAATATAAATGTCATTGTCATTTGATGCTGGATGTGGTGAATAAGCTGCCAGTGATCAAAATATTGAATATGAAGTCATTGAAAACGATAGTTTTGACAATATGGTTGAGATCGTGAATGTGAGGCAGATGCTGAATGTACTGTGGAAGTGCGCTCTGACGATGACAGCGATGGTAAAATCATCTGCTCAAATTGAACCATTTTAAGTTTCAAAATGTAACGAAATATGCTCAGAGAGGTGTTTATTACAAATAAAAATGAAAATGAAAGCACATGGAGTTGGCAGAGTGCGAGGGTCGTGGCGGGATGCGGATGCTTCACTCATAGTGCACCTCGGTGTCAGACAAACAAAAGAAGTGAGGAATATTTAACTGCAGCTGTCACGGTGATGATGAGGCGAGCACCAGTGAAGTTTCTCATGCCTGCTCCGTCCACACCCCTGCTGAGGTGTGTGCAAACCTGGTGACCAACTACAAAAAACGTCCCACCTCTGTGCTTGCCAACAAGGGTTTCTGCACCAAGTACATAAAGTACAAAAATCATGTTTTGCTTGGGGATCAAATACTTATTTCACTCACTGGAAATCAATTTCTAACCTTTCTATAATGTTTTTTTTTTCTGGATTTTTTGGTTGGTATTCTGTCTCTATACGTTAAAATAAACCTACCATAAACATTACACACCCTTCATTTCTTTGTAAGTGGGCAAACTTACAAAATCAGCCAGGGATCAAATACATATTTCCCCCACTGTATGTAATTTATTATGCACTTTTGTGAACCCTCTTGTATAATTGTGGCATATTTTAACATTACTTGATGTGATACTCATTTTTGCAGGCTCTTTACTAACATTATTCAACAGGAAAAGAGCATTATTAGGGGTATTGCTGGATCTTATTGTGGTGTTGTTCATTGTTCATGTTAGCTAATGAATTAATTGATTCTAAGAAATTCAGCTATTAATGTTAGGAAAAACATTAGTATATTATGTACAAATTAGCATTATCAATAATTAGGTAATGCTGTGTATGGGTCTTGTTCATTGTTATTTAAAAATTCCAATCTTCAAGAGTTAGTTCACCTAAAAATGAATACTGTCAATAATTAAGACCTTCATTCATCTTTGGAACATAAATTAAGATATTTTTGATGAAATCCGAGAGCTTTCTGACCCTGCATAGACAGCAATGCAACTGACACGTTCAAGGCCCAGAAAGGTAGTAAGGACTTCATTAAAATGGTCCATGTGACATCAGCGGTTCAACCTGAATTTTATGAAGATACAAGAATATGTTTTGTGTGCAAAGAAAACAAAAATAACAACTTTATTCAACAATTTCTTCTTTTCCTTGTCAGTGTTTGACACGCGTTCACGACAGTACCACGATGTCCTTACTACCAATAACAATAATATTTATTATTATTTACAGTTATTTACAAATGTTACATGTAGTTACATGTAGGTTTTTGTAATTAATAATGAATTTACATTTAAAATTGCTACCCAACTCAACACTAAACAAAAAATGTTATATTGCATTCCAAATACACAAAAATATAATAAAACTGTACTAAAATCTGTTAAATGAAAATAAATATTTACATAATTACAGGTCTACTTGTATACAAGTACTACAAGGAGACCTGTAGAGGAACTATGGTGCAATGCCTATGGAAAACATATCACATATATGCATGTGCCATCACCTTTATCCAGAAAAATGCAATAAAACTAATTTTTCCTTTGCCACTGAGCGACAAGAAAAGATTTCAGCCGCTAGTAAAAGCCACAGAGACAGGAAGGTTTTAGTTTGCCCTTGACATTGCATAAACATCCATGTGAATTATGAATGGCCTATTTATGACACCTGGTGGCCTGCTGCCATTCTTATGCCAGTAACTGAATTACACATACAAGTTATTATTTATTTATTTGCTTTTCCTTCTTTATTCGGCAAAGATGTATTTCTATGATCAAATGTTATTGTTTTAAAACCATGCTTAAATCACTATAGGGGAGGAAGATTTACATGAAGCATACTGTGAAGTGTGGAGTGTCTCTCTTCTGTGGCACCTTCTCTTATTGTGACTGATGTGTCTCTCTGTTTGCTTTTAGGTGGATTAGTGAGATGCCCGCCACTCATCCTCGCCTTGTGCTTTCAGACTGAATCTCCTCCTTCTGGGTTATTCTTTCAGCACAAAGTGGATCCATGATTGGATATTGCATGCTTTTCTGTGGCAAACTGATCTTCTCTAAAAGTCTCCATGAAAAAAAAAAGTATCCTTTTTCTTTTTTGTGAGGAACACACCACTGACTGGAGCATATTCCATCACAAGCAAAATTGTGAAACCCAGATGAATTCACCAGTTGCACTTTAACCTGATTCATATGTAATATATGTAAGTACTGTATAATAAATAACAAAATACAGAATGATATCATGCAGAAAAGACTCTCCCTAAGTTCTTTAGAGAGCTGAAATGCACTGCAGTCTGTATGAGCGTGTGGTGAGAAAGCATTAATAACCTTTTAATAAAATTAGAATGGTGAAAGGTCAGCTCCAGAATTGGAAGAAGTAAATGAGAATTGCTATACAGAATTGTTCTCCCCGATAAGCCATTCACCACAATTATACTGACACAGGGTAGAATCCTGGAGTTGTTGGACAATTAAGTACATTTCATGCATAAAGTTGAGATTTAAGTTGAGTTTAAAATCATTTCCTCTATTAACCGGGCCACAGACGTCTCTTTGTGGATCTTTGTCTCAGAACTCAGAGTGGCAGAAAGTCATATGGGCTCTGCTGTCGACCGCAAAACTTCAATCAAAGGTAGTCTGTTGGGGAAGGAACTAAATACGGAAGGGAAGATTACATAGGAGGTTTGTTTATGGACTTCTGAAAAGGTATGTTTATTTTTCCAAAACTTACATAAGGCTGCCATGAATGAACTTCCTTAATGTGGAATAGATGGTGTTTATGGTACAGCTATATTGGTGTCATACATGGACAAGCCAGTCAAGTTAACATGAAATGGTGTTTACAACCAAATTTACTTCTGAAATCTGATGTATTTCCAAATGAAACAGGATATTTATTGGGAAAAAATGTTGAGCGGAAATTTATTTTATCCATTGGGAATTGATTGGGTAGTGAAACGTGTCTCTATGACATGGCTGTAGGGGAAGTGAAAAAAAAAACATTAGATTTTACATTAGATTAAAGATTAATACAAATAATAATAATAATAATAATAATAT